TAAAATAATTGCTACCTTAAGACAATAAGGGAGGAGAAATTTTATGTTTATCTTGATGGAATAGGTTGTAATAGTTTGACCTATCTGCTATGTGAAGGAAGCTATTTGCCACTGATACCATGAGCTCTTTGTATCAATACTACAAATTCTGTATCTCCCCTGTAAGTGTAAATAACTGTTCATTTTTTAATTGGCTGCCACACTACTAAACTCATCAGAAGAAATGACTGGTCCTTGATAGAAAATTGGAAATGAGTACTGATGCAGCCTACCACTTAGCTATAAGCAAGAAAATAAAATGGCCAAACCGGGAACATATTAATCGTGTTCAGGAGTGACTACATAAATGTTCAAACAGTACTGGCACATATTTAGAACAACAGCTTACTCCAGGCTGGACCTGCTGGTCTATCTGCTCCTGGGAAACACTCCTAACACATGCAGTCTATGCAGGGTCATAGATTACACTAAACTGGAAAAAGCTTCAGTGGAAAAACATGAAACCATTAAATCTGATTTATCCTGTCACAGTTGAATTGTACAGGCAGTACACCTCTGTTCACCATATCCAAAATCTCTCTAAAAGGCTTTAGGCAAATAAAATAGCCTCTTCACTTGAACGTTTACCATTGCACTCCTGAAACCTTAACAATGGCTAGAAGTCCACAGATTACCAGGCACAGGTAAATACCACCTATGCTACACATAATTAAATGAAACCTGACCCATACATTGTTTGCATGAGTATGACAACATTAACACTATTGGTACTAGTGTCAGTAAATTTCGACATTTTCCATTATGAAGCAGAATTTTGTTTTTATTTCTTTTAGTTTATCTGAAATTGAAGTCATTATTACATTTAAATGTTACAGGACCTGACAAGTTCAGATCAAATTTACTCAGCAGAAGAAAGTAAGGAAGTTATTTACATTAGACTTGACAAAGGTTCATGAAGCTTGCCTATCAAACAAAGTGTGCCTGAGTTTCTGTTAGGCATATGAAAAATGAGTGTCTTGGTGTCCCTGGCTTCCCAGTGTGAGGATTATAGTATGTGTGCAGGCAGTGTAAATTACTTTTATTGGCTTTTTTAGGGTTTTTTTTGGGGAAGATAAGCTGATGCATTCTACTCTTCCAAAATTTTGATTAATGCAAAGACTGCAAAGATAAGCATGACCTTTCCATTCCCTTCTTTTTTCCTTTTCCTAAGAGACTCTTTTCTTTGTTAGCAAACTCTGGAAGTACTTCCCTTTTTCCTTGCAGCTGTCTGGCAGTGTCTCCCAGATGGCAATTGTTTAGACATCTTGTCTGGCTCCTGCTCTTTGCTGCTACCTTACTGCATATGTATGCAGAAGGGGCAGAAATAACTTAAAGCTGAACAATTTTTCAAGTAGGCTTCCACAAACTCAAATAAAAAAACTAATATTTTTCTTCTAACTCTTTCAAGCAGGTGCTGTGTTTTATCAAGGTCATTATTAGTATGGAAGCTGCTGGAAAGAGATTTTACTACAAAGCAAAGGAGGGAAAACTGGAAGAAACATAAACAGATCATGTGCTACTGAGTCCTCCCTTCTTATTGCACTGCATCAGTGAACACAGTGTACATGGCTGATGGTGGGCATCTAGTTATGAGTTACACCAGTTTAGTGAAAAGACTATTGGCAAGAAGTGAAGTTGAAAAACACAGGATGGCATCTATGTCAAGGTACAGCCTTTTTAATAACTTTAGAAATTAGATTTTGTCATAGATATTTTTGACTTCAGTGTAATTCTTGATGTCCAAGAGCAGTAGCAACCTACTTCAAGAAACTGCCTAAATAATCTGGAGCAATGCAGTCTGAATGCAAAGGTTGTGCATTCTGGAGCTGGCTGCAGTACTGTGGCTCTGCTAGAGCAACTATCTAATAATGAAATGCCTCCAGCCAAATTCAACTGCTTTGCAGCTCTGAGCAAATTAAATAGGAAACACTCAGGAGTAAGGGTACTGTAAAGGAACACAAGGACAATGGCTAAATCTATTATCTACTCTTAAAGTTGGTTTCTGGGACACCTTTTTAGAAATTGTTCGTGGGCTGACTTTACAATAAAATGAGTGTTTGTGAATAACACACGTTTCATTATGAAAAGACTGAAAAACTGATACTGTTATTCCTCCTTTAGAAGACAACAGCATGATTTACTATTAGTATGCTGAAAGCTAGGGAATAGAGAAATCAAGTGTTTGCCCAAAGGACACCAAAGAAATCAGTACAAGAACCAAGTACAGGATTAGTCTCTTGGCAGTTCAAACTGATACCTTTAAATCAGCTCATTTACCCTTTCTGTTTCTCACTAAGGATTAAAAGCACTTCGGTCTCTGGTGTGGTCAGTCTGGTACATTTCACGTCATTAATTACCACTTCAAAAAATAAAAACAGTGTAGAAAAACAGAGTAGATTTTCCACATTAAGAGTAATTGGCACCATCAGTGAAGAGTCAGCACTTACCCTGTAATGGTCAGTTCAACAAACACATATCTAAATGCCAAACCACAAACCCTTAAACTCAGTTAATTGCTTCTTTTCAGGTTGAGATCATGCTTATATTTATGACTGAATTAAACTTCTGCATTAAAAATAACTTAGACAATTAGACAATGTTTCTGTTACTTAAAATTTTACAGATCAGCTGTAGGCTGAAACACAAATATTTTTAAGTACATATTGAAACGCAAACATTATAACAACAACTGTAGATTGCCTTGTGTCCAGCTATTCTGCACACAAGCTTTACTCTCTTCCACTGAAATAACTTCAAATTTGGTATACTTTAGCAGAGTCCACCTATCATCTCCACTTTATTTTCTTGATAGATATTTACTGCAGCAAGCCAAAATCTTACAAATCTTAAACCGAAAAATATTTTCCATTTATGAAAAATTTGCAGGGATTTATTGACTGGCAGTTAACAAGTTTCAACTTGTAACCATTTTTTACTGGAAATTGCTGTCTCCAGATGAAAGTTTTACAGTGAAAGCAAATGTTGCTGTCAGACCTTCTGCTTTATGTTTTCCCACTATCCATAAAGCAGACTACTTCATTCCCACTTAAATGGTTTTGGAGTTGTATTCTCTATACAAAGAACAGGAAAAACCTTCATTACAAAATATGACTTTTTTTTTTTTTTAATTATGTACGGTAGTGTCAATAATGTCCCTTCCGTCTTACTAGTTCTATGTTTTATTAAAGAAGAAGTTGACTGAAGAAGTCAGGTATTTTCACCCTGGAGAACAGAAGGCTCAGGGTGGGACCTCACCAAAGATTTCCAGTACTTAAAGGATGGAGATTCTCTTCACAAGGAGCCATACTGAGAGGAGAATGGGCAGTGGATAAGGCAGAGGATAAGGCACAGAGAGTGGTTTCATCTTGGGATAAGAAAGAATTTTTTTACAGTAAGAACAATCAATCTCCACAGGAATGTGGTAGAGTCCCCATCACCGGAGGAGTCCAAGATGAGACTGGACAGAGTGCTAGATAATCTCATTCAGGCTCACTTTCCCATGAAAGGTTGGACCACATGATCTTTTGAGATCCCTTCTAACCTGGGCTGTTCTATGATTTTGTGAATCTGTCTACTTATCCCTTAAATCACAATTTGCATGCCTTCCTTGCATGAGTAGTTCACAGCACTGGTAGATGAGGTATGCAAATGATCCTTACATTTTTCTGTACAGAGTACAATATACTCTTAAAATATATCATCCAAGGTCTACTTTATCTTGTTCTTACAGGTATGGGGCTGATATCAGAATCAGAAGGAGATGACAACTTTCAGTGCAAACTAAGGCATTATTTATTTCTGCATGACAAAACCTCATAGCTTCACAAGAGCTTTGAAATGGAACCTTACAGGGGAGTTTTCAAAGATAGCCAAGACCCTGACACACTGGTTAAAAGCAGACAGAAGATACTGGAAACCCAAAGTATGGTGACAACAGATCACAGAAATTAAGAGCTTTTCTGCAGGAAATTCTACATTGTCTTTTCTAGAACTGGAACAAAAAGCCAGATGCCTAAACATTTTATAAAACAGAACATTTTCAGAAGTTTTGTCATGTGAATGGCTCTTGCTTACCATTTGTCAGATTCTCTGCTATCTGGCAGTTCTGAGCATTGCCCAAAGAAAGCATTTAGGGATATTTGCTTTCTGAAGATTTGCATTCAGCCAGCTCCAGATAGCTGACTCTGGACTAGGACCAATACACATAAGACATTTTTGTCATTATGGATAGTGTTTTTCCATCCATGCAATCTGAGAGGATAAAACCCAGCTTAAGTTAAATTACCGTGGTGTTCTGGTTACATATGTTAGTAGTTTGTGTGTTTGTTAAATTTCAATTTAATATGAACATAAGGAACCAGGGGACCAGGTTTTGTTTAGTATAAGGTTTTTTCTCTTCCCCATTTTGCAACAACCAGGTAATCTGAATGACAGGCTTTCCCAAAACTGTAGTTCTGGTTTGACAAATAAATGTTAAAGCTTCCATATCAAATAAACACAGAACAGCAGTCTTTCAAATTCAGATACAGATAGGTGAGTGTTTTGTAGCTGACAACTGAGAAATACAGTAGCACACTTAAATCTCTGGCAACCTCCACGTTATCTTCAGGAAGGAAACATGACACTGTTTTAAGTTCCATAAAATTAGAAATATTTGGTGATCTTTTTCACATAAAAAGTCAAAAGGTTGTGAAGTGGCTACTTGCAAATATCACATTATGAATTGATTGTGACTTGAGGAATGAGGAGCTGTTTTGAACGTGTTGATTTGCCGTTTGCAGGAATTCTACAATGATTATACTTTGATTTCTAATATGACAGAAAACCACATTTAAAAAAATAAAATAAAAAACAACAAACAAACAAAACCCAAACTAAACCAGAAATTCCATTTCCAAAAGTCTGAAACAGAACCAGAAAAAAGTATTTTTTATCTTAGACATTGAAACAAAACAAATTACCTGGGTCTTCTATAGATAAGTTCTTCGTTAACCATTGAACAATGTCTGAACCTAGAAACAAAATAACAGGCATTTTTGTATTAGTAAGTTTTCTCTTCCTATTCTTCAGATACCTGTGGTAAATCATATTGTTCTTCCGTGGAAGAGATCTACATTTTTTGTTCAGATTGTCTAGAAAAAAAACTGTCACAGTTTTATTTTATTTTAGCTTTGCTTTAGCAGAGAAACATAGCACTCATTCTTTCTTTAGGCTACGATTTATAAAAAGTAATAGAAGTACACTAAGTGTATGATAATAGTCTGCATTTTAAAAAGTATGTATATGATAATGGTCTGCATTTTAAAAATTATACTGCTGCAAAATTTACATAGCAAAGCAAACACTTTATAAAGTTAATATTAAGTTTTCGACCCCTTAAAAATTAGTTATCAGTAAAAGCATATTCAGTTACCCACACATGCACTACCAATGTATCAAACTCCACCTTATAGCTAAGCTCTTGGCAGAATTCATTTTTCCCTTCATGCTTTAGCTCTTTCCTCTCTGCTCCCGTCTTTCTTCTTCCATATCCCTTCATTTACTGCCTATCCATTTCTTTCTATCTAATTTCCTGTCTTGTTTTAGGGTCCAATGCTATTGCTCACTTCTTAACACCTTTCATACCAAATTTCTTGCTGCTTTTTGCACTGAGTACCCTTCCAAGCTCATCTCCTAATTCCTAGCCCATCTGCTCCTCTTGGGCATGCACTTCTATTACACTTTGCACTTTATGTCACAAGTCTTGTTTTCCAGATTGAAAGCTATGGTTGAACTTCACCCATTGAGAACATGAATTATAAAATAAATTGTGAAGCAGTGCTGCAGATGAAAAAAATAAAAAAAACCAAACCAAAAAACAAACCTACAGATTCAACAACTTCAACTACAGATTCAAACCTTCAGATTTAACAACTTTAAATAATGAAATTGGCTTAAAGGGAAAATGTAGTGAAGCACTGATGGGGTGTTATGTGTATGTTTTTTATGTTTCATGGTGGCTCCAGTTTGGACAAGCAACATAATAGAGAGACATGTCATGTAATATTTCCTTATAGAATCAATGTTTATGATGCTCAGCCATTTCCCAGCAAACATAATCATGAAATTGTTTTATAAACCTTAAATTTAAAACAACCACAAAAATCTACACAACTTACACAAATATAAACTAAATCAAAACAATGAAATCTCTTGAATGTGAAATAATACATAGCATTAGAATGTGGAGCATATTTCCCCTGTCTCTCCCTAGATTCAAACTTCTTCCTGTACTTTGCATAGTGCATTTCCTTTGGTTTCCTTAAGGCAATGAAAATGATATTATAAAAAGGCATTTTAGAGAAGAAAGGAAATTTACTTCTCCTTCCTTTCTTAATTTTAAAGACCATAGTTCTGTAGCTCTTTTTTTATTACACATAGTGAATAGACTTATCATGTATTTTACAAATTCCTGTTGGTAATATCATAACTTTCTATGAGTGTATACATTACTAAATTGATTACATAGCAGTGAAAATCAGTGTAGATTTTACAGCCATCTCCAGAGAAGACATTTTCATTACTATGTTACATATCTAAATGTTGATAGTTATTAAACCCCAGTGGCACCATTTCTCCTAGCATTTACATGGTTTTATTCCTTAAATGAGGCAATTTACCTTTGCATGATGTTGGGGCTGTACGAAATGTTTCAGACAGATATTCCTACCTCAGAACATTCTATTTTTATTCTATTCTTATGTATTTTTATAAATACAATCTCAATCCCTTATTTATACGTATGAACTTTACAAGGCCAACACTGATGGAAGAATTTTAGCTTAGTGTAAGACAAAACTTTATAGACATAATGATGCAGTTCCAAGCAAAACTATATTTTTATGTCAGCTGACTAGAGAAGTTAGTCAGCCCTAAATATTTTCCTAAATCTTCAAAGATCAGAGAAGAAAATAGAAAAACATCATGACACTTCTAAATACTGATTCTTAACTTTGTCTTCCTTCAAATATCTCAGATACCATATGGAAGAAATTTTCTATTCTATTTATCTCACCTTAAAATTCTTCTTTTCTTTTTGCCTCTTTTGAAAACTCTCCTACAGTGACATGCCATATTCCTCAGTTCTCGGCTCCTGGCATCACATTTGCGTACACTGTCTACACATCAGAAATTTCACCTCCATATGTTGCACTGTCTTTTGGCTGTTATAAATAATAGGGGGAAATGGGGTTTCATAACAACTGCACCACCTGATTCTGAAAGTTCACTGCTGCTCTATTCACATTTTACACTGAAGCCACTCCCCTGGCACCTGAAAGCCTGAACAGCACCTTAAGCCAGCTATTATATTCAAACACTGATGATTTCAGATGCATGACTTTAATGACAAAAACCCAGGTGAATAAGTATCAACATGAACACTCTCCTTTTAGTGTGAAGGTTCTTCAAGTAAAAGTTGAAAGTAATTGGTCATATCACAAGTGAAAAATCTTTCAGTTCATATTTCTTTGGGAGATCTTGGTGCCAACACTAGTCCTAAAAGAATAATAAAGGTAATAACATAATAAAGGTACAGTAATGTAAATCCTGCAGTCATAGCCTGTCTCATAACCAAGAGCAGAAATCTGGTTTATAAAAACTAAAGGGATAATTAAACATGACTGTGTATCTGTGCCCACTCTTTATTCTAAAAGTACCAATCTACACAGGTTCTTGTCTTCTCCAGCAAAAGAAAATGATGTTCCATTCCAGAAACATTTATCTTTAAAGCTTTCCAAAAGACATCCTCTACTTAGATTTCCTCCACAGCCACAAGTGACTGTTTTACAGATGACAATAGCTATGCATAACTGGCAACACACCAGTAACCACAGATGAGACCCCTGTAATCGCAAGGCTCTTGTATTAAGCACTAGAGTTTAGCATCTTGCTGAAGAACATTGCTCCATGCTAAACATTTGCAAGACAAGGGCGATGATGTTTGTAAAAGTTAATGTATGAAAACCCAGTACAGCCTTTCTACTGCAAAGGAATTTTTACACTTTTCTTCAAAATTGTGTAAAGCCTTGTGATCTTGTTGAGCTATAATAAAATATCAGTGTGCATGTGACATGAAAAATCTTAACAACTTCCTCTATGTAAAAAGTATTTGTGAGAGAAAAAGCCCAGAGCGTATAGAAATTTATTTTATAAGAAATCTTACCCTGAAAAAACCCACAAAAAACCAAAACCAAAAACCCCAAACAAAACAGGGAAAAAATGATGCTATTTTATCAAGCAAAACTTCTAAAGTCTGAGATAAACAAGGAGACCAAAAGACTTATCAATGAGACCAACTTGATTTCCTGTTCATCAGAAATCTCAAGTAACGGTAAAAGAAGAAAAGTGACTTTCAGTTTTCTGCATCATTATGTCCCATTCTTCCTCTCCTCTCAATCAGTTCCTGTCTTTACCCTCCAAACACATGCAGACACATTTAGATTCTATTAAGAGAGAAATAGCCAAAGATTCAGCAGCTCATCTTATCCTCCATCCATCACTACCTTTGGGAACTCAAGCTGAATCACATCCTCCAGAACAGTTTTGGATCCAATACCAAGTAGAGAGCAGGAACACTCCAGGCATGTGTCCATGCTCTTCCCAACATCCACATTTACTCTGTAAATCAATAGGCAACTAAGCTGCTCTGCAATATCAACACCCCACTTGTAGGTGAGTGCCTAGTTACCAGCCTAAAGAACAGTTTTTTCTTTTTCAGTGACAATATAACTTCTTTATAAAAAGAATGAGAATCTGCACACAGAAGAGAACAGTCTCTACTGCCTGCTGATTATGTTCTCTAAATCATGAGCCAAGGTAGTCCAGATTTCTGCTTAGACACAAGCAGTTTTAGGTATTTGAATCTGAGTGTCTCCACCTCAGTCTTTAGGCACTCTGGTTGGGCCACCTTTTAATTCCTTTTGCTGGAACTGTAACTCTTTTGTGTTAAATAGTCTGGAAGATAACAGAACAAAACAAAAATATTACTACTCTGAAGGACACCGATATAGGGAGTTGAGCCCCTGGAGTCCCCTCCCTATTGCTATGAAGGCTGAATTAATGCAAAGTAGGACAGCACTGGCAAAGCCGAGAAGGAAGTGGGTTAGTGACTCCAGTACCAAGTTTGAGCTCCAGTTCCTGAAATAACGTGTAAAAGGGAAACAGTAACATCACTGTTGTCTAAACTATCTTGAACTCTCACTCTGAAAAATTCATCCAAGACTATTTCAGGAAAACTGAGAGCATATTCTTGTGGGAAAAATTTGCTACTTGCCATAAATAGTTCACCTAACTTTCTTTTTAGATCTACTAGATATTTCACTGTATCTGCCTGACAGAGAAAACAGGTTGATTGGTAAGCATAATACGTTCTCTCTCTCATACACATACCAGCAAGTGTTTGCACATAGCACTTTGATAATCTTTACAACACAGTAAAAGCTGCCTGAGATTACCTCTGCCACAATAAATATTTTTGTTTTCTTATTTTTTTTACATCAGCAGTTTGAAAATAGTGTGTAAAACCAAATGCCCTCCAAGTTCAACAAAAAAGCTTTATGAAGCTCCTCATCATGCTTCAAGCAATCATGTATTTTTACATATTTCCACTTTATTATCACTAAGAAATATGATATTTTCCTTCTGAAATGCTTCTTCTAATTCTTGCCATACTGCCCCCCGAAGACACCCACACACATATGGTAATGGAAGGAAGCGAGGCAGCAATGCAATTTCTGCTAGACACTTTACATTCATGGAGGATTTTTGAAGAGGAAAATCCTGAAGTACTAATTCTAATAATTCAGGAACAAATATATTATAATACAAGATTTGACTTGTGATTTTTACTCCATGAAGAAAGTCAGTGGAGATACAGTGACTTACAGTTTTGACATTTGCCCAGCAACAATGTCAATGCATTTCCTCAGTGTTCCTACTCAATAATAGTTAATTTATATAGTTGGTTTGAAAA